CTACGCTGGTCTTCCCTTGCCTTTTAGAAGTGTTGCTACACCTATTATAGACCAATTTTTTTCTGTTAATTACAATCTGCATTATGCTTGTCACATCTGCATATGTAATTTCTTAATTCCTCTATGTAGCTTAATTACTGATAAATAGTTTTTTAAATCAAGAGTTCATTCGGTACCTGTGGAGAATGTTACAGCCTCAGAAACTCTGCTGAGACCCTGTTCTCTGAATGCACTTCACACAGAACAAAGACGGAACGCATACAGGAAATGGCACCACAAGCATTCCTTGGAACAGTTATCCAGCCTTTTCAAAAACACCATCTCTATGGAAGCGGTCGACACCTGTTGCAATTTATTAGTTGCCTACTTTACGGACACTAGCACGACAGACATCTACTGTGAAGCAGATACCTCCCTAGCAAGTGCAGAACTTCTTTTATACAATCGATAAAGTAGGAAAGTGAATTCTAATTCAAGCAAGAGGTAGTGAGGCTAACAGGCTCCACATCCCCCTGCCATGCTTATAAACCATGTCAACAGTACTACTGATATAGAAGAAACTTTAAAAAAAATCATAAGACTGTTCTAACTTTGAATAACCATGCTTTACACAAGATGTTCCAGTATCATCTCAGCCTTTGTTGCAGTGTATGTGCAGTTAAACATTTATGTATGTCTGTAACACAGCCCACTCTCAATTCTTCAGCATTAGTGTGCAATATTAATTAAACAAGAAATTTATGCAGTTTTGAGGAAGAAAACAGTATCGTATCAAGCTGTATAACCCTTCTGGTAAAAGTTAATTAAACCATTAAGGTATCTTTCTACAAAACACCTCATTACATCCACAAGGTAAGTCTGGGAAGACATTTAAGCTCAAACAAAAAAAAAAAAAGCAGCTCCATCTTCAAGTTCTAAAACACACATACACAAAACACCCTTACTTATACACTTTAATCCCTATGGATTTTTACTTGCATTATAGCATTCTTCTGCAAGTAACTCTGTGGGGCTGATTGCTAGATATTAATGTTGAAAGATCATATGGAAACAAAATATGGGTAACGATTACATCATGATGACAAGGTAAGTGTCAAAAAATAACTACGACATTCAGCTTCCCATGAATTATACACATTCCTCCTACACGAAAAGCAAAGTCACAATGTTTCACATTAAAGAAGCAACAGAAAGATGTACAAGTATTCCTTTTTAAAGAAACTTTTCTGCAAAGGTAGGCAGCTGAGCAGTATGTAGCTGCCCTCTTTGATTTATGATCATTTCCTTTATGCTGAAAGTAGTTATTTTAATAGATTACAATAAAAAGTAATAGGCAGGTTTAATCCAGCGTATGTTTTATTTGTGTCTAGGTCATCAACTTTAGGAAACAGAGAAAGTGTGTTTACAAATGAAAGACTTCAAACAGTGACTTGCTTATCAAGCCTCCTGAGCATACCCTATGAGTAAACTGAAATTGTGTACCTGAGTGGAGTTAGATAGTTGGTTTTTCCACGGCTCCTCTGCGCTGCTGGTCAGGTTTGTGCGGTTATGAGGTAGAGAGAGTGCGTTTCGCTGCAGGTAAGGCACGTTTCCATTACTTCCACTTTCTGTTATGTGATTATTGCCTATCAAAATAGTGTCTGTACTACCCAGCGTTCTTGCTGTGCTGCAGGGAATGGGGCCTGCTGGAAAGGGTCCATTAGCCATAGGCTGCCCAGGGCAGGCGGGACGGATTCCACGCTGAGCGACATTAGGCACTCTGGTTAGAGCAACCTGAGGCTGCTGACCAGAGACAGAGTTTGTAGGCAGTGATGAATCAGCTGTTGGCCCATTAGGAATTCCAGTAGATCGTACCTGTGCAACTCCTGTTTGTCTCATCTAATGGAAGGTGAACAAAGCACAAGAACATTAGCTGCAGAACCTAAAAAGTAAAGAACGTGTAATGTTTGTGTACTTTATTGCCGTGGTCAATTCCAGTTTTATACTGATTTTAACATCTTCACAATTGCTCTTGAGAAGTAAGATGACTGTCATGCTCACAAATGTGCAGAGTGAATTTTAAGGTAAAGCTATTGGCACACTTTTCTTCTAGGCTCTTCAGTTTGAGCGTTAGTGTTTTACTGCTAAAGTTGGACACTAAGAAAGAGAGAAGTGAATAATGAGGAGAGATATGCTGTAATACAGCTTACTAAACTAAGTATTTTTCAAGCAAGACTGCTTTTAGATATGTCCACTCACTTTAGTTTGAAAGTGTAGCTTGAAAACTTTTACATTATCTGGTAGCCCTATAATAAAACACAGCTAACCCATTACATTTCAACTAGCAAACCACAATTGTACTTTATGCAAAAAAAGATGACAATGTAATGTAGTAAAGGGCATAAGAACTCTGTACAATAGAAATTCTTCAGAAATGAAGAAACACAACAGACACCATTACTGACAAAAGTTTTGTAGAAGAGAAAAGTATTTTTGTTCTCACCTGCTGGTGTTGCTGCATCAAGACAAACTGACTCTCCAGCTGTTCCAGCATAAGTTTCTGTGCTGGATTTAGATTATTTCGGTTTGCACGCAGCTGTTCCAAGTGCTGAAAAAACATCAATACAGTTTAGAATCATGAAAATTGCATGTGCTTTTTAATAACCTCCTTGCATACATTACTAAAAATTATCCATGAAGACATGACTTGTAAAGCTGAAAACATGACTGAGATTTCTGTCACAGACTCAAACATCTTTCCATACACTATTCTGTACCCAAACCTTATTACTACTTACTAAAACTAAAAAGATTTTCTAAATTATTTGTATGTATAAATATTACCACCACATTAAAATTAAGTGTACTGGTACTGTAAAAGAAAACTACATTCAAGTATGATTATAGAGAATTCTTATTATCATTATGTACGGTTTAACACTTTTTGTACTGTGATATTCTTTTATTAATACTGTTCAGCTTAAAGTAAATTCAACCTATAGTCACACATTAAAAATTCTCCAGAAAATATCAAAAACAAACCCAGGAAAGCCATAAAACTTAATTACAGAGAGCAGTATCTTAAAATATGATACTGAATTCATTTGCGGCTGATAAATTTAAGTATCTATTACCAAAAATCTGATCTTTATATTCATTTTAAACTACTCAGCACATACCAGTAAGTCTGCTGCTGTTAAATGTTATGACATAAATGCTGAAATTGTGGAACACAAAAGCACTATCTGAGAAAGAAGAGGGGGGTGAAGAGGAGGGCAAAAGTTGTGCTACACAAAAGGTGACATATAGACATTTTTCTTCATTGTTCTTAAATACTAAGCTATTTCACATAATTGTAAATTCTGTCCAAAAAACCCCCAAACCCACCCCACAAAACAAATGCCAAACAAAAAACAACAAACAAACTAAACCAAGTCCCACCAATACCAAATACAAATCAGGTTTCCTCTACTTCCTTTCAGGTCTGCATGTATTATTTTTCTACATCCTTCTCATCTCCTTTGCTTTGATTATGCTGTATTAGTAATACATAAATGGAAGTGAAGTGTAAGTATTAAATAAAGCCTAGTTCATCCTGCTTTGAACAACTGCATTTGCTGTTGGAACTAAAAAAAAAAAATCCAACATTGTCTGAAAACGTGGTTAAAGATGGTTCATTCCAAACTCCCTGGCTTAACAGTAGCTTCCATTCTGTAGTCCCTCTGCAGGGGACTGCAATGAATAAGACATATCTATAAATATACATATATGTATGTATATATTTATGATTGTGAGATGAAAAGAAGGTCTCCGTGGGAGAGTATGCACGGGGTACACAGAAGCCAAAACCAGTGCTCCTCAGTTGTTATTCTGCTTTTCAAAAGAGTCTACACTGGGTAACAGGAATCAGAAAGACTGACCTAGAACATATGCCAGCAGAGGCAAGTCTGCACTCCTCTCCAGTGATACGGCTGCAGAGGCTTTGCAGGCAGCACTGTTCTTGCTGCCTACAAATTCTGTGAAACCAACACCCTGAAACTCCTCCACTGGCATGTTGCAGCCCCAGAGGCTACTATGTGGCCATGGACCCTTCCCCTTCTGCTTTTGTTAGCTGAGCCATTCAGTGTGTATGTGCCATCCAGCCTCTGAGCTGCCACTGTAAAAAGGCTGACTTAGAAGATACAGTAAAGGTTTTATTCACTCTCCTCTTGCATCACATATTTTTGGCTTTCCTATTCATATATGCTGGAACCTTGTCAAGCTATTGCCAGCAAATCCAGTACACCGTACTTGGATAGAGAAGCCTACTTGGATACTGCTTAGAGGAGGAAGTTGCATCTGGAAAAAGGTGAAACTAAAAAGAGGAAAAAGTAGTAGGATATAAAATAAGCAGAGAGAAATAATGAGAATGATTTAAGAGAGAGAGATATAGAAGAGTGATTAGGGAGGACCAAAGGGGTGGGGAGGTGGGGGGGTAGAGGGAGGGAAAAGTTATGCAGCATAATAAAGCCAGTATTGTTCAGATAGGGAAACATCTGAAGAACTGTATTGGAGTTGAGGGGAGCATTGCTCAATCAACCACAATGCACCGTGTTCCCTTCAATTTTTCATTGCATCCAAAGCAGTAACTGGGATACATGGGTAAGAGGTTTCCAGCTAGACCTGATATTCAAAATACGGAATTCCTGATGAAGCTCACTGCAAGTTTGAATAAACTGAAGAGACAACAAAATATCAGAACAAAAAAAGACCTGAAAGAAGATTTCAAAAATAAAATCTAGTGTTTCATATAAATATGAAATTTTTGATGGCAATATGAGAACATAAAATACAGAAAAGCAGTACCAGATTTCATTTGAGTAATTGGATTTTGTAGTACACTCTTGTTTGTTTACGCAGTTTGATACAAGAAGCTACCTCAGGGGAAAGAGACAGTATTACAATACTTCTACACCTCCTTCAATATCCCCCACACTACAGCAAGTACCAAAACTCACTTGGCACACAAGTATGGCAATTTGCATATCTAGCTTTAAAACATGGTAAGAAAAAAGAATTACTGTATGTTCTTACTTTATAAATTATAGAATTCATACAATGTAAGTGTTCAGTTTCTGCTGCAGATCATTAATTTTACTACAGAACTAGTTTCACATAGAGAAGCCATAAATATTGGCACAACTTGAATTACACTGTGGGAATTATTTGGGAAGTATTTCATATTGAATTTCAGAACTGTGAAACTGAAAAATGTTCCAGATTTGTAAGACAGAAAGACAGACAGACAGACAGAAAGACAGACAGACAGAAAGACAGAATCAAAGCTTCTGAAGTTCTTCAACATACCTACCTGTAATTTCTGTGGTGTCAAGCACCAAGAATGAATTTGTTGTTGTACAGGAGGATGTGACACTGTATGGCCACTGCTCCAAACATCTGAAGTATTCTGAGAGAAAACATTACATTAAAATGCATGACTATCAAAGGCTCAACGTAATTTCTTTTACTATCTATATTTTATCTTACTTATGAAAGAACTAGTCTTTGTTTCAAGAATAATGGTATAAACAAAGAACATACTAAAACATGCCAAGTCTCATTCTGCCATTCCCATACAGTATCAGAGTAGTCAGAGAAAAAGTTAAATGATATCTAGTATCATAATGAGAAACAATCAAATCAAATTATGCAATTAACTTATATGTACACTCCTTTTAAAACTCAATACTTTACCTACTGTAACACTATTACATGATGATGAAACATTTGAATTCTAAATATAAGCAAAGGCAGTAGACAGGATGACATGATCATCTCCCTCTCTATTATCAGACTATGGTTGTACTTTTTTTACTTATACAGCTATGATTGTAATATAGTGCCATCGATCTGCACTGCCCTTATGCACTTCCTGTCTGAACTGTAACCTGATTAAATACATCACTGAAAAATGTTTTTTAAAATTCCTAAAAACATTCCCCACCTTGATGCCAAAGGATTAAAATTTACAGCACAAATACTGTGCATGCTGCATCACTTTAATGCATATTTCTGTATAATTTTGGTAGGGGGCTCTTTAGTTCATCAGAATATATACCTTTGTTGGACTAGATGTTCTTTTCCTCTTGGCAGGACTGGTCAGGTCATCTACTTGGCTAGAAGGAATCATGTGTAGTGGCAAGGATTGCTGTGAAATTGGTGTTTGAGTGAGGCCTAGTACAGGTTCAGTATTTGGATGATGAGGTTTACAAGCCTAAGAATCACAGAAGGAAGACAAAAATATGGTTCTACATATTCTTAATTCTTTCCTTTAAATTATATATTTTAATAGCCCACATATATTAAAAGGGCCGAGTAGATATTCTGAAGATGATCTCAATAACTGAAAAATCAGTTTCCATATGGTCATCAATGGAGGAATGTGTACCTTTCACGGGATTATTAAACCACTGCATCATTTCTACTTAAGATGAAATCTTTTAAAATCATGAAAATCCACAAAGGTTCTAAATTGGTACCCCCATATTTCTCCCATATTATAGGGAGCTTCTTGATCTAGTATCCCTTTGCAAATTAATAAAAGGCTTTTTATTAATAAAAGCCAGTCCTGTGCTCAATAAAATAAGCTTGACCACTACCGATTGTAAAGAACCCTTACAGCTGGGCACCTGCAGAACATAACCCAACTTCTCACCTGCTGCGCTGTGTTCATGGCACCCTGCCTGGAGGTAAGCTCTGCGGGGATTGGTAGGCTCCATGCCTCCTCAATACTAGGAAGTAATTTAGTTTTATTCTGTAGACTACCTTGTGGAAGGTTACACAACTGAGCCTAGGAAAAATTATGTAAAAAGCAAATTTAACACAAGCCTACTTTAGTAAGAGCAAGTCCATGAAATCTTCCTAAATGCTGTAGCTAATTACGTCTTAAAGAGAGGATAGATTTAAAATTTGGGGTTTTAGAAAGGTGCTAAGTATAAAGAGGGTAACCAGAATATAAACCTTTGTGAGAATCAGAACAAAGATGAGCTCTGGATTCAGAGGTCTCATAATTCCTTTTCTCTGAAATTGCAAATAAGAGTGAAAGATAGTGTGTGTTTTAGTCTCTATGTTATGAGAACTTAAAAATGTAGACAATACAAAGAAAAAAGCAAAGTGATGTAAAACAGTATGCTTTGATTAAATGTGCAAAATAGTGTTTATAAGGAATTAAGTTCCACTTAAAAATGACGAAAAAATATTACAGGCTATGATATGCTTACAATACACATGAAAACAGGTTACACACACCACAAACAATTGCAAGTTAAACTTGTGTGTTACTTCTCCCCTCCCCTCTGCCATGTATTTGGAAGAGTATTTCCCACTTCTTAAAACATTTGTTTTACCTGTAAATACTTTATCCGTGCTGCAAGTGCAGAGGTATTACTACAATTTTTGCTCCTAGTTGCATTTAAGTAGCATTTAATGGCATCCTGAGGCTGGTTGCAGGACTCATAGAGTGTGCCTAGGTCCATCCAGGCTGCAGCATGGCCATGGTCCAATTGTACAGCACAGATATAGGCCTGTAAAGCATCCATAGGCTGATTTTGCTGTTGATACAGCACACTGAATAGAAAGATTAGTGAAGTTGAGAATTAATAACAAAAGTCAAACACAAGCAAGTCAAATATATAACCCTCCAGCCCCTTAATAAACTTTCCCATTATACAAAGCACAGTAACAAGCATAAACAACACAAAATCTTAACATGCAAAGCTCATATACATCACATATTCAGTAATTAAAAAAATTGAGAAAGCAAATACAAATTTATTACTTAAACTTCAAAGCAGACAGGTCTGACAACATGAAGGTAAAAACAAAAAAGCTTTTTGGTCACCCTCAGAGCATAAAAGAGTTAAAAAGCTGATATTCTTTATTTACGTATATTAGCATTGAATTATGTCACTGTATTACCCTGTATCATTCTTACCCTATAGAACACCATGTATCTGCACTTGCTTCTGATTTATCAATAGATTGCCTATAAGATATAAAGGCATCCTGAACTTTCCCAATACTTGAATAGCACCTGGGAGAAGAAAAAAAGAACTTTGGTAATATTTATAGAAGGAAATCATTAAGGATGGCTTACCAAGACTGATCTGATAAATGTTAAGTCATGCAAATACGTACTCATCTAGATGAATCCTAAACATTTGCTGTTTCTGAACACCAGGCATAAGCAGTCTCCAACATCTTAATCAACATGTATTACTAATCATTATTTGAAAAAGACATCAAAACTGCTTAAACCCTAGCTTACTGCAAAGAAAACAGTCATAACACGTTTTAAAGACTTACATTTCTTTCATTTGTGATAACTTATGAGTCTAGGAGAACAACATTTATCTACAGATAGCATTATAAAGAAACAATTAAGTTACCTAGTTCATCAAACAAATGGGTTATGAAACTTCATGTTCTACAAGAAGTGTTTCAGCATTATTAAGAGATATTGACCAACTCAGTCAGGATGGTTCCTGATTGCCTGGGAAGCTTTTTATATGCATTTCTCACATGTCCATAAGATTTCAAGTAATGAACAACACACCAGTTAGTTTTACTGCATATATAGAACACAAAATTTTGTAAAAAAATCTTGCTATTCTGGATTTTTTCATAATTCCTTATGTGAATATTTTACACATACTAGTTCAAAGGTATTCTGGCATTATAAGCAGAAACATCATAACTGTAAAGAGAACTACAATTATACCACAGGGAATAATACCTACCTTTTTAGAATTAAAACTTCAAATAAATACAATATTAAAAGCATATATATACATTTACTAGCTTTATCTACAATAGCTCTACTTCTTATTTTGTTTGTAATAAGCTTCCCTGTTGGAAAAAGGATTGACAACTTTCAAAACACATAAATAACAACCAAAAATTTATTCTACTAATAAATAAAAACCACGTAGAACAATACAGGCAAAGGTTTGTCAAACATGCTACACCCTTTCATGTATTCTTGAGGCACACTAGGACAGCGATACAATAAAATCTAGCAGCACTTTGCCTAAAAATAGCCATTCAGTCAGAATACAGTGTTTCAGAAGATCATTTAATCACAAGCTAACCCAAGTTTCAATAGACACATTTCCATCTGTTTGCTTATCAGATACAGGAAGACTTTGATTAGGATAAGAGTAACATTAAGCACCTAACAAAAATTAAAACAGGGTGATGGATTTTTTTCACTGGGGGAGGACAGTGGTGGTGGTGGTGCATTTTTGAAAGGTAGCTTTAAACCAACTTGCTATCCCATTTGGACAACCAGCAGAGGAAGGAATAACACAAGGGAATACATGAGGAGGGAAAAAAGAGGAAGACTGAATGCGCAACCCTGTAACCCTGTTCCTTTCCTCTTCTCGTGCCAGAGTATGGACTGGAAGAATGGGGCAGAGTCCTTTTTTGCTTTAGTCCTTCCTGCAAAGTATACAAGATCCTTCCACTACATTTTTTCCCTCATTACCTGTGCTCCTCCCCCTTGTTTGTATGGTCCTAGGTTGCACTCTAACTACACGAAAGCTGTGGCACAGTAGGAACAGGAGAAGGGCAGCTGCACACACATATACTTCAGGGAGCCCTGGCTCTGTCCTGCTGCTGTGGAAGAACTCAACAAGCTCAAGGCATGTAGAACAGGACTACTGAGAGAAAAAACAGGATTTCAGCCCAGTACATGAGCCGCCAGATGATCCCTGGCTCATTTTCCCTTTTTCCTCCACACCTACTCTAGCCCTCTGCCCTTCACACTCAGTGCGGGTGCTGCTGCCTTAGCCTGCAGACAGCTGGTTGAAGAGCCCTGTCTTACAGGAACAGCTGGAGGAATATAATTAGGATGATAAAAACAAAAATAGGTTCCAGTTGTATGTGACCACGACCTCCAAGACAGTCAGCTGGAAGATACTGAGGTTAGGATATTAATTTCATTTTTGCATAATTCCTTTCTTTCTAATGTATTTCTCAACAGAACTGACCTGTTCACATACAGACTTGAATTGCCCTCAAAGCTTTCTCCAAAACCTGATTATGTCAAGAGTTACTGCTGGCTTGTGTAAAATACTGTATTTTCTTAAAAAGGAAACCAAGAGAAGTCACCAAACTTGTATGATTTACATCTTGGCATAAGTAAATTTTCAAGTAAAAATACTGTCTGGTAATACAGAATTAATACAACACTTAAATAGATATTAGAATGGATCAATCTGAGCTATCTTGGCCTAATATTTAGTTGCAATATACGCTGTTTATAAATGGATGTATACCTGAGAAAATACTTGTATTTTAGTGCAAAAATTGATTGAGATTAGAAAGGAGATTCTGAGAAAATAAAGCGATAAAGAACTGTGAAAAAGGTATGAAAAAAAGTAACAACATTTACAGAGCATTTACCAAAAAAGAAAAGCAGGGGGGAGGGGGGCAAAAAAATGTAAGATGTGGGAAGATGAGGAACCACAGGTAAAACCAGGCAGGGCAGACTCAGATTACTGTGAATGTGTAGACTGAATAACAACTTAAAAAAAGCAGGACTACTTGGGTAACATAATTCATTTCAACTTCTCATCTATATTCATCCCAAATATGTTAGCACCTTGTCTTTTTATACACTTTCCAGAAAACTAGACTTCAGTAGATACATACATCCTTTCCCTTCATTTTTCCTCTGAAAGTATTAAGAAGAAAAACAATTTAAGATACTCACAATAATGAGCATCCTTAAAAAATTTACAAAAATAGTTGCAGTATCTATAAAGTCATTTCTCACCTTCCAAGGAAATACCAGGATTGACCAGAATTTGGATCTGCTTCCAGAGATTTCTGGAGATACTGTATAGCATAGCTTTCCTTGGTTGCCTTGTCTCCAAGCTGATCCACGGTGTGATGCATCCAGCCTAAAAAAAGAATCCATAAATGGCAGAAGTGAAATGCCCTAAGACCTTTTAACGCTTTGGCACAGCACGATATTTATAGCATTAGTTCCTTTTTAAAAATAGGAATATCAAACAGTAATATCACATACATATAATACTATGAATGAAACTTCTAAAATTCTTAAAGTTCTATATTAAAATTACAGGACAAAAGGACCATAAGTCAAAATTACTTTCAGGTACTTTTAAAGCGAGGTTTTTTTGTTTACATAATTTTCTATAAAATTAGTAGCACAATTATGAACTGCTTAATCTTCTACTATAAAAAGTTAATCTGAAAATGTTAGCTCTTTCCCCCGCTGAACAGATACCTTCTCTGTCACTGTGAAAAATGCCACCATTCTCCATCATGCACATCAATTATCTGTATATTATGGTCAGTTTACTTCTTGTCTTCTAAATCCTCATATCTATCCCGTATCTACATTTGGACAATACCCCAACAGAACACTGATAAGAATTTTTGTAACTCCACTTAAATCTTTTTTACATTGTTGTTTCATCTTCATTGCTACAGCTTTTCCATTCACCTTGACAAATGCAATCACCTCTCATCTACGTAACAAATTCTGCTGAAAAGATCATTTTATTTCCTCATCTAACCACACATCATATTCCTTGAAATGCCTTTTTTTCTTTCATTGCATTAAACAAATTATTCATCCCCACTTTAAATCCCCCATTCATCCCCCATCCTCCCACAAGCCCTGCTCCCATATAATCTTTTACATGCTACTAAAAAGCATCTCTGCACTAGCATTGATGCAAGGCTTGGTTACCATTTCAAATAAACCACCTTCATCTCTTCACAAGCTGCTCCTCAACTGCCTCTATGCTTAGATGGAATTCCTTTAAGCAGCCACAAAATCATCTCACTGCCATTCATACCATGACTACAAGGAAATTCTTTGTAACAGGCAGCTGGCTTGCTGAAATCACTACACACCACATTGATCAGCAATGCCTTGCTGTTTGCTTGATCTCCACCTATTTAACAATTCGCTGCTTTTCAGCCAACATTTGTAAAACCTAAGATGTGACAACGGATTGTACCTATGTTTTTAGGGTGTCCTGACCATAAATGGTCCCTTACGGAACACTATGATATCAATTCCATAAAATATCCAAGGTTTGTATAAAGTTTTAGTTACCTACAGAGTTGTAAACATCTGCACTAAATGTCCATTTAAAACCTCCATCAGCTAAACTTCAGCACCCTAAGCTTTATCCTTTTTGATACAGTCTAATTACATGAACAGGTAATACAGAATCACGCAGAATACCACCCAAAAAACTCAGATCAAAATCAGATCTCATCTGAAATGCTCAACGAAGTAGGCAAGGCTGAGAACTGAACTGATAAGCATTTGTAGCCTTACTTTACTCTCTGCAATTAAACTATACCTTAAATATTTTATTCTACCTGTTCTATACAGCTGACATTGTATTCCACGGGCTTATAGTTTGTTAACAGTCACATCAACACTTTTGCAAATGGAAAGCAAACTTCCAAGTTTTAAAAAAGGCAATCTAAAAGAAAATCATATCTATTGAACAACGTTTGGCGGAGGTGTTTTAAGAAGTATCACTTGGAAACTGCACTCAGAAGCAGAAATTCGAATATTTCATGGACTGCAAGAAATGTCAGGTTAGGAGCCAAGTGGTTACTGTGTCGACAAAAGAGTACTTTATCTTGTCTGAAGGTGGATCAAGTCAAAACCCTACCCATCAGAAAAAAAAAAGTTAAAAAACCCCAGTAATTTTTGCACAGACATGTGACATACACAACTTTCTCTCACAGACTTCATAAACAAGCTATGATTTTGATTCCAATCCCAGTCACTGAAGTTCTTAAGCATATAGAAAATACACATGCCTTAAGAAAAAAAGGCTTATGTCAGGGTCGTTACCAGAATGCACCTGCGTAACTGTACACTAAGCATAAATGTACTGGGTTGCAGTGCCAGGCAAAGCCTGAGAGAAAGGTAATAGCTCAGGGATTACAAAAAAGTATAAAAAAGGACATTAAACAACCAACAACTTCCTGAATCTTTGGAAATGTTGTGTGATGATGCTTATTTTCTGTTTCATCAGAACCTTGCCGGATTGAGAGATAACATGCTGTATCTTCAGGAGATCTTTACTGAGGTTCACTGATAAGAAGAAAGAATCTATTTCTAGGAGACAGAAATGAGAACTAGCAATCCCTATCTAGTTTCACTGCTGAAACAAGGGTTGCTTCCTGATATTATCTTCCTGTGCAGGGAAAGGCAGAGGCAAGAGAGGGTGAGGGAGAACAAACAAGTTTCCTACTAGAATAGCACAGGTAAAGGAAACTGTCTCTCTCTTCTCATACATAAAATGAAAAACATACAGAAAGGTGGTGATGGAAAAACCCTGGTAAACTGTGCAGTTTCCCATTTGCAAGACCTAACTCAAATTCTCAACTAGCATTTTGACTATTCTTCCACTCTTGACACATTTTTGATAAAATAAACAAAAATGCAGCTTTTGTCCATACTTCACAAATGTTCCACGCTCCGATTTGTAACAAATCCCTGTGTTGCCTCAGCAAGAGGATGTGCTAGCCCAGCTCATGCTGCAGATTTATTTAGGCCCATCAACCACTCTTATGCTGAATTTGTGGCGATTGCTTTTTCCCCAATAAACATCATCGTCTCAGACTCTGAAGAGATGAGTCTCTTCCCCATTGCAGCATCTCAGGATGTCTCATCCATTTTGCGTGGACACCACCTAGAATGCTCCTAGCTGAAAATCATTGCGAGAAGGCTTTGGGAACCTCTAAAGCACATGCTTATGTTGTTCTTACACTCTTCCTTATGCAACTGCTGAGTACAATTGGAGAAAGAATACCAGAACAGATTTGATCTTCAGTTTCATTAATTTAATGTAATTTCAGGCAAAGCAGTGAAAATAATTACTGTCTAGAAAGCAAATGAAATGGCAGAAAAGAAGAAACAAACTGCTCTTATCCAACTGCACAGATCTTACTGTTACATCTGCACGAATTAGCATGCATCAGCTCAAATGGATACGTATTTATCTGAGAATCACAGGGCTCTCCTCCACAGCAATCTGCTTTGGAAACCAGCAACAAGAGCAAAGATTTTAGTAATGCTCTCACAAGACATCTGAACTTGCCTAAAGTTGAACTCTGGCTCAATAAACATTAACGAGCTGTGGGGTGGAGTGGGGAGAACTCAACATAGAAATACAAATATAGTTTGATCGGGTTTTACCAGATGGCAGGTATTTTCTTTTTTCTAAGCAGCAGTGCACCACCCAGACTATGTTTCCTGAGGAGGTGTTTTTATTACCAGCTGCTAGAGATACCATACTCTGGCAATTACCACTGTTACAATTACCACAGCAAAGAGCAAAAGAAATGTTCTGCTTAAGACCACACTGTCCCTTTCTCTACATAGAAGCTACTTGCACTACAGAACTAGGTGACCTATACTGATTGAATAAAGAGAATTAATCCAGTTTTTAGGCAGCACACAATTCTCCAAGTCATTGCTCTTATTGCTGAGACCTGTGGTAGGATTTTATGAATACAACCATGCACCTTTGCTTCTAATGGGGTAACATACAGAATCACAGAAACACTAGGTTGGAAAGGACCTTCAAGATCATCAAGCCCGACCATTAGACCAGCGCCACCATGTCCCCTAAACCATGTCTTGAAGCGCCACATCCACACGTTTCTTGAACACTTCCAGAGATGGCGACTCCACCACCGCCCTGGGCAGCCTGTTCCAATGCCTGACCACCCTCTCAGTGAAGAAATTTTTCCTAATATCCAATCTAAACCTCCCCTGGCGCAACTTGAAGCCATTTCCTCTTGTCCTATCACTAGTTACTTGGGAGAAGAGACCAACACCCTCGTCGCCACATCAAACGGAGCTGAAAAAGGATTGATCAGCTATTTTGGGAAGCCTGTCTTCCATTTGATCGTATGTATAGCCCTTCTGAATGAAATTGCTGACAGTTTACAGTAGGTGGGATAATACCAAATTAAAAAAATTAAAAGAGGATATTGAAATATAAGCAACACTGTCATGCGACAGCAAAAAAATCAGCACCTAGAGTCCTGATGTGAACTCCTCCAGCAGTTTTCATCTGTGATTTCACACAGAAGAATCAAGAGCTAAACGAATTAGCCCACTCCAAATCCATACACAACCTTCATTACAAAAAAAGAAAGCACTGTGGCCATAACAGTGCCAGTTACTAATTTGAATTAAATGACCACTATGTGAAGGGGAAAAAAAAAATGGGCATAAGCAGGCTAAATTAATATTTAGAATAATAAATTAGATGAAGAACATGGAGAAAGTGAATGAAGAAGTTTTGCACCCGGTTGAATGATTTTAACAAAATATTCTGGAAATACTTTTATAAGATATATATATTATTTTACCCACACGTTAGAAATTTTGGTCTACAAATGATTTATCAGCTTTCTGTAAATATGGAATACGACAATTTAAAAAAAAATACTTTTTATGTTTTTATGTGGTTTCTTTTATAGAATCTGATGATAAACTTTTTAGTTACAGGAGTAGGTTTTCATTACGTACTATAACTAAAGAGAAAGAAAAGGTAATTTTACATTTGCCATGTTCTTCTATTCTGCAACAGAGAAGAGTATTTTGGTTTACTGCATTTAGCCTGGCTATTCAAGGGATGTTCTCAGAGGCAGAACAGAGAATACGGAATTCTAACTACTGCACTCCTCCTCTGAAAGACCACCCCCTCATTGCCCAAAACCTGTAACACACATGCTGTAGCAAGACTAAGAGTTTTTTAATTTTGTGTTTAATGAAAAACTTTTCCTCCTCTCTTATTTACTTAATTATCTACTGTTACGCGTTCTGTTTTGGGTGAAAATCTCACGGATCATACGCAGTGTCTAAGATTCCCTTTGGAAATGGAGCCTTAAAAAACACTGCTGAAGGTGAAGATGGAAAAAAGAAACACACAGGAAAATAAAAGTTAATTTTACATACCTAACTGCTGTAAGACAGTTGCTTTTACTTGTGCAGGAAGGTTTTCGATCTGCAAAAGTTGTTCATAAGCTTCCTTTGCAGAGTGATACTTTCTCTGCAAAAGGAAAAAAGTAAATGGATTAATCATAAAGCTTACAACAGATCACCAATAGCAACGATTTCACAGCACTGACAGCACACAAACACATTGACAAAGAATTCTGTAACTTTTTTTTTTGCATACAGTGCATATGAAAGCTTCAAGGAGTGATGTATATATATGGTAAGAGAATAACTTTCATAAATATAGTATTTAATATAAATTGGCTACTTAATATAATTGAGGGAAATTTGCAAATTATTAAATTTGGTCAACTCCTCATACATGCATTATGCTTCTTGTACTAAAATGAATATATAGCTTTTAAAGGGAATGCTTGAATGTGAGTCTACATCTGAAAAAACCCTACACATACTCCTCCCAGGAAATTTGTAACACAAGTGAAGATCATTGGTAATTGGTGGCTAGTATAATTTTGCCTCTCTCCTTCCTTCAGTGTATTTGAACGGTCTTTTCAAGAGATCTGTTGTCCTGGTAAGAGTCCCACCATATGTAGAATTAAAACATATCCACGGGTTATGCCTAGAGAATGAAGGTATGCCATCTTATTATTTGCTATACAGTTTAAGTGTGCTTAAAGCATGGAAACATTCTTTACTCACTATACTCACTTTCTTGATACAGGAAACACATGCCTAGGTTATGATCGTGGTCTTTATTGACTTCTGGAACAATATGAGCTGTTTTGTATATATTAAAGGTTAAGCCTTCTCGATAGATTAATTTTTTTTTGCAATAAAGTCAGTATTTATCTTTGTGTTACCCTAACAATAACTGTTGAACAGTGAATGTATTTTAAATGCTTAATCATTCTGTTCCTCCTCGCCCACAAAAGTCTAGAAGACATAAACGCTGAGGTCTGTTAGTAAGAATACTTTTTTTTCCTTTTCTAAAGGAAATCATTTTTAAAGAAAAATATGCTTTTGGATAATTCAACATTAGACTTCATTCTAGCAAACAGATGAAGAGTATACTAAAATAAATGGGGCTACCTAAATGCAAATGATCATGGCTTAGTTACATTTCTTCTATGCAAAGAGTACAAACTGACTATTGGTGTTTTAAAAGGGACAACTGGGAAGACAACTTTAAACAATATAAATACCTATTAGAAGTTAAAAATGTTATTAGGTTCTTGAGATCTCACAATCACAAAAAACAACTGTTGATCTTAAAACCTTATTCTAGTCACGAAGAAAAATTAAAGCAGCAATTACATACTTTCAAATGGAACAAGGGGAAGTTGGTAGAAAAGATATTTAATTGGTGTTCATGAAATGCAGACAACTGGTAAGAAAACAAATAATATAAATAAATAAAATATCCATGGCCAGCAAAATAAAAACAATCAGGAAAAAAATTTAAATTTAGCACTGGGAACAAAATTCGTAGTTTATGACTATGAAGGTTAAGAAAATTAATAGCAGTTCACTGTATAGCATGACAGCAGAGGCAGCAATACAGATGTCAAATAGGTAAATCTTAATGCCTAATACTCCCACTTTGAATGTTTACATGTTTACATGCTTGGGAGGATTCAGAAAGATCTAATAAAATAGGGCATGTTTTCCATATCTAGAATATTTTTTACTTTTGTTATTTTTTGTATTATTTACTCTTTAGAAATCTGTCTATATATATGCTTTAAAACATTACAGAAAACTGTCATAATGTTTACATTTGGTTTTATTTATGTATGTTAATTCCAGACATCCAAAGACTTTGATGTTTGGCTGCATCATGAATGGACACAGAAATGGGAAGGCGGGGGGGGAACCCAAGCCAACATCTTTCTTTAGACACTGTATAAGCTACCACCCTAAATAGTTACAGGGACTCACTCTGCTACAGATGAAATAATAGAAACTAGCATTAAACAGGAAAAAGCACTGCTAACTCTTATCAGCACTGGGCTATTCTCTCATTCAGAGGCTGGCAACCCATCATTTAATCTCCAGTAACGTGAAGGTACATAATTAAAGAATTAATTAACTTTTTCATTAAGTATTAGAGAGTAGATAATTTTCAAACACATGGACAGGTTCAGAAAACTGTAGCACTGTGTCCTTTAAAAGAAACCAAGCAACCAGCCTGCCTCCAAAAATACCTCTTCATTGTGTCAGAGGTAATATCCAGAACGAAGTCAAGATCCTTTGCAGGTCCAGGTTTCTCAAATTCCAAAAAAGATGATACCCCTCCCAGCCAAAACTGTGAGACAAACCAAGTCAAGTCTAATAGCAGGATGCACTGAAATTTTTTTGCTCTGACCTGCATTAAAATAAAGTTCCAGCTGCCTGCAATTGTCAGTCAGAAAGCATAGCTTAAGCACTTGTAACATGGGTCATGCAATTATATAAGGCACCTGGCATGGTGACCTGAGGTGTTCAACTTTCTGTTTTACTCTAGCAGATCAAAAGAACTAACACGTTGAGGATGCTTTGTTATATAACTGTGTCAGATGTGCTCCAGTGCTCAGAATGAATTCTGGACAGTGGCCAGCTAAGAACCACAACAGTCCATGAAGTTTCTTAATGGAGGTTTGGGACCGGGGATTTCAGTCTTGTCGTACAGCTTTGCACTAAAAGCATTCAAAAGAAATATACCTTGTTTACTGAATTTGTATTTTTTATTTATATATAAATACCTAAAGTCATTTTTCACCGTGCTATCAAAAGACAGCACTTACTTTATCAAGCTACTTTTCAACTGGCTGAAAAAGTAGTTTATGTATATCATCCATTTTAATTACAACAGTTTTTGTTTTCATGTCACATCCGTTCCTCACTGAGGAACATATAATACCTATAAACGTGATAAAAGAGCATGAAATCTAAATTATATGACCAGTCAGTCAAATTACAAATATACAATAGCTATTTCAGTAGCTACTTGGTTTTAATTGATTTATATTCTGGAACCTCAGTAAGCGTTCTGTAATTTCCCAAAAGATTCACCTAAACAACCTCTATGGTAGGATTTGATACAGAATTCATAACACAGCTTTATGTGCTGTTGAGGTCAGATCTCAAATGTTTCTGTCACATATGTTCATTTAAATTTGAAAAATTCATGTCAAATATGTTTAAAAAGCATGTGGGCAACTGGCTACACTCGACTGTGTGTGTGTATGTATGAGAAACAATATAAATATATATATGAATTGAGAAACTATGTATTTTTAATATATATATAATCTCATAAAGAATTTTACTAAAAATTATGTTTAGGGGTCTTTTTGCACTCAACTTGGGAGACCAGTATATATGTAAGTTCATTAAAATTGCAACTCCATTTTGTAGTATGAGAGTACATATACAAAATATTTTTAATTTAGCCAAAACAAATGAAGTTTCCTTAGTGATTTGAGACTGAAGCCTAACTTTACAAAAGCATCTATAATCTGAATTCCACAGACTGATTACATCATACAGTTAGAAACTCAACCATGCTTTATAAAAAGGAGCTTAAAGCTTACCTGGATTTCATATAAGTGGGCGATGTGAAACTGAACTGTAAGAGCAGGAAAATCAAAATTATTACTTTTAATGAATGACAACAACTATAATACGTTTTTTTAAGTGAGGGATAAACAATGTTTCAGATATATCAATGCAAACCCAAGATAAATTAAATTTTTGAAGATACAAAGAAAGTATTTGTTTACATTGAAATTTTAAACTTAATATAGCAGAACTGATAGAGAATGAATACGTATCCTAACAAAGCATTAAGAGTGCAAACAGATATTCCAGAAAGACAGTCCATGGATTTTATCTGTATTCTGAAATGCAGGGTCCATTAACCTTTCAGTAAACTTAGCAATAAAATCTCTTTAAGCAGCGATGCACAAGAGAATGCAGGTAATATTTTCTGTACGTAAGTGAGTTAGAAATAAAGACTTATTTTTTATTTTTATTCAACTGCCAAGGGACAGACCAGCTGGATTACAGAACAGAAAATAACATTATACACTGCCAGCTTTATACAGGATCTTAAATTTAGGTGGTTTTCTTTCCTTTTTAGGAATTGTCTTTCCCCTGTTAAAGTGAACTAAAAGTGTTAATTACAGATGGTACTCTGATCATTGCTGTAAAGCATCTTAAATTCCTCATGTGAATTGCACAGAATGCCGTAATACTACTAGAAGCTCTTGGAGACAAGAAAATTGCTGGCCGGAGAAAGAAAATGAGAATTGTCAAGAGTAAAAGCAGAGGGAAAATTATCCTCATGCTGCTCAAATCATTAAAGAAAAGGTGGAGTGCGCGATCTCTAAGGCTTGAGAATTGCTAACCTGGACTAGCCATTGACCGGTAGATAGCTAAAGCTAGTTGAGATTAATGTAAACCTTATTCTGATTTGCTGAGGAAAGAAAAATTCCTTCAAGACAGACTTTTGCTTGATGTTCTTGGGGACAAGTAAGAAAATACCTGTGTTTGAGCCAAGCTCAATTTATTTCAATTACACAGATTTCTTTCGCTTGAAGCTACAGAATAGCGTGACACAAAGGTTTATACAGGTAATTTAGAGTTCCAGGGTTGCTCTCTGGGTCATAAGGGAGGGGAAAAACTCCCTTTGTGCACTGCTTTGTCCTTCACTATAAAGAAGGTAAGCCTACTGCACTTCAGAAACGAGGTCATAATGAAATGCATCATCTAAAATTTTAATAAACTTTTTGTGGTCCTTGCTAAAGGGCATATACCACACCCATTATGTTCACCACATCGTCAAACTTCACTCTGTACTGATGAAAGAAAAACCTCTACTTTTGTTTCAGGAGTTCATTATCTAAAAAAATCTCTCTCTCGTTTTTCCCCCTCGTAGCAAACCCCTTCCAGTGTGAAGTTACACAACGGAGCCATGCCATGCAGGGGAAAGAAATCAAAGGTGTCACACTAGAGATGGCCTAAATAGAAAGAAGACATGCTTAGTACTCAAACTATTTCAGTCAGGAAGACACTCATTGTAATGCTGTTACTCACCCAGCCTTTAGAAATGCAAGGGGTAGGATTAAGGCTATCTCAAGAATTTATGTGACGGTACTCGACACCCTGGGTCAGAGTGCACAGTTCTCCTTCTGCTAAGCGGTACAGGAGAACCTGACAAGGTCTCTCTCATTACTCTTCACTCACTTCCTTCAGATTTGTCAGGCACAGTGCCCAAGGCCACGGGGCAATGAACCCCTTACATGGGGCCATACCTCTTCATAAAACTGGGGGCAGAGGGAACTGGGGGGGGTGTTAGGAAAACCTTACAAAAATTCAGAGATACCGTGAAGACTGATAAAGTTAGTGAGAAATAATATGAACTACGATGAAATATAATAAACAATCACATAGCTGGCAGAAGACAATAAAAGCCTATTGACTTAGGAAGAATTCTGCAAATGACTTTACAAAATTATCTGTGCCTGCTCCTGGTAAGTGAAAAAGCTTTGGAGAAGATCTTGTAGCACAGCTGGCTCCTTGATACCAATACAGCCAGCAGTTTCACCCATGTAAACAAACCTCCTTTCACCACCTTGCTGACAGAATATTCACAGCTCTGAATTAAAGAAATTAAAAAAGGTTTTTAAATACTTTATGCAATGCTTCTGAAGTTAGACTCAGGAGGTAACTTAAGCTCAACACCAAGAGCAGCACGAAAGTACCTTAAAAACCTGAGGGATTAATTTCCTTCACAACTGTCTGCCTTTCAATTCTTACAAACTCCAAAACATGAGGGAACATACACTTATTCTTGCACACAATTCCACCAACTATGGATAAATACCTGCAGGATGCTCTATAACAGCCTACGGTACATACTGCATATGACAGATCATGCTACACTAAAAGATTAACATGTTCAAGTACAGGCGAATATATAGTTGGCACCTAATAAAACAAACAATCAAATTACATTTTGTACTTTTTCTTACTTCAACAGCATAAGACTGATGCCGAGTTTTAGATCTAGAAATTTAAATGTCATTAAAATGATCACTGAAAATTGAGAGATTATCAAGATGCCACAAAGTTTTAAATAATTCCTATTAATGTGTGCCATAGCACAAGCACTACGTTTGTAAATAAACAAATAAATGAGCGGTCAAATAGTACATTTCTTCCAGAACTCAAGCCTTCAGAGCAATTAAGTGAAGTCTCATTTTTTACTTATTCAATTTACTATCCACAGTTCCAGTGGAGTATCTGTCTCCATTAACAGACGGAGACAGGTTTTCTAGTCTCCCTCTCTCAGTACTCATTCTTTTGATTTTGAAGGATTGGTTCATTAAAAATTGATACAGTTCTGAGTATAAAACTTAAAAAAAATCTACAACAAAATAAATAGAAATACTTAGAGGTTACTTACTTTCAGCGTTAGACAAAGTGCAGGGATTGCAGTCAATCAAAGCTAACTGAAAATGCTGGAAAAGAAAATCATTTGTTTTCAAAACAAATACTAGCACTTTACTAGCAAATACTAGCAAATTACTACGAATAAATCACTTTTATACTTGCAAATGAATACTGCATTTTACCATGTGTCTTAAAGAAAACAATTTTCAATTTCTGTTTAATGGTTTACTAGAGGAAAGTAAATTTCTTTGATTGCAAACATAGCAATGCTTCTAGTAATGTAAGATGGCAACAGACATCTTCACAAAACAACTGGTATAGCATCTGGAAGAATGACTGCATCAAATGAATGGTCAAAATCAGAAGATCGAGTCTTGCTCAGAATACACAACTGGGAGTGTAGTCATACTAGCTCAGAGCATCATGGAGATAAACATCAAAGCTCTCAACTGTCTATCTATCAAAAAAAACCCCAGAATACTCTTCCTCAAAACTGACTGCTCTGAAGTCTTTTTAAAAAATTGATCTCTTCTCAAAAAGCACTTAAAATTAATACCTTTACACTAAAACATGAGTTCATAAGGAGTTCATATGTTCTTACATCCTCTCCTTCAGGTATTAAGGTAACTTCAGTTAAACGCTAAAGCTTGTTTAATCACTTTTCTTCCAGAGATATGAAAAATATCTTTTAAAACTTCTTTGCATTTGGAAGTTCTCAGCCAAGCATTCCACTCTTCTAGAAAGAAGGTCACACAAGCAGAGCAATGAATTCTGTCTGCCAGAAAGTCTGGATGCGAGCAATCATTTCACTAATGTCATGCTAATTCAGTGATCACTATTTACAGTTTGAAAGGCAACCAAGTGTGTTAAAATGAAAGGAACAGGCATAAGAACTCAAGTGCCTCTGAACTTTTTCATAAACTTGATAGAAAATTCCTACACAGTGTAGAATTTGGACTAAGATATTCATTCAATAGACAGTAAGGCCTAGGAATACAGGAACCTAAGAGATGGCATATAAAATACTACTTCTAATAAACACTTATCTACAAAATACAGTATCTTCAGTCTTCTAATACACAAAACATTACTGATGCTTCAGTGTATTTTATTTTGTTATCGCAAAAGTAGTAATCTAGCTCTGGCTGTTCAGGATGCCAAAGTAGGTGATATCAGGAGCTTATTAGTGTAGCAGGGAAGGAAAAAAAATAAATCCTTATTAATGGATGTATATACAACTTGCTTTCAGTATTGTCATACTTAGAGCTACTAAATATTACATAACTTTCCTCATCATCCTAGTAATACCTCGTGTATAGCACGTCTATATAACATACATCCCAAAGATTTATAGGAAGAGTTGAACAGACCACCAAATTTCTGAATAAACATTTTTAACACAAAAATTGTTAGAAAATTAATGTATTATCCATAGCAAAGCATATAAAAAGGAATGCTGATGCTCTCGGGAGCTCTGCAAGGCACACAGTGACAAAGCCTACCTCCTCACTGACTTCTATCAACATCATTCGTAATATATGACAGCTTTTAAAAAAATGAAACACTCAGTTTGAATAACACAAATTTATGATTTTTGATGAAACTTTTAGCAGTATCATTCCCAAGAGAGCACAGAAAACAATGAACTCAGATATGTTACTTGTAAAATAACTTTTTAACCTTACAGCAAGCATTAAATAATAGCTTATAAATATTAAATATTAGCTTATTTCTCTGCCTTGCCTATTCCTTTTTCTAGTGTTCAGCAGAGAACTTAACATCTCCCCTCACTTACATTGCAATGCAGGTTGTGTGCCTCAGAGACATCCTTTAGTCGGTTACCATAGTAATTCTACTAAGCAGGCAACTTAAAAAAAAAAAAAGACTAAATAAAAATAAAATGCTCTACTTAATATTGTATTTTGCCTGACAAAAGAAAAAAAGGAACAGCCCCATATACTTTGGCCTGTACATGGAGTATACCGATCCAAATGATACAAAATCCGTTTTGCACAGATCGCATCATCTTGCACTGTCACTAACAATTAATACAAAAAGATAAAGCAGAAAGGAACAGATCTGCTCTCATGTAGCAATGCTATTATAAAGAATAAGCAGATCTAAAGAGAAACGATTGACAACTGTTCTGTAGCAGCTTTTCAGAAGGGTTACTGCAGCAAGACTTGCTGAGAGAAAGCAGGCAACCATACAAGAAAATCTAACCATTTTAATATTTAAATATGCTAGTAGTATCAGTGCTGTACAGTTAAAAAAAAAAAAAGCAGAAATATTCTCAGCTATGCTTCCTAAAAATTTAAATTCTTACTGCTACATTAGCTGACTTTTAAATTTCAAAATTCCCATTATGAAAATTTTCTAAGTATAATAAATTTCTGCCTGTACTGTTCACTCAGCTACAAACAGTAAAGAAATGGATAAATCAAAGCCCGTAACTACAGCAAAATAAACCATTTGCACTAAACAACTGTCACAAAGCAATACACAGAAAACCCAGAACCTTTGAAATGCACATACATGAGCAAACCTACACCTCTTGCCAGATAAATAATACATAGCTCGCCGTTAAGTATTCAAAATCAGACCAAAAAAAAATGCATGCATTCGAACGCATAAAACTCATCAGCCAAAAGCAGATCCGCTAATCACAATTACCAGAACCAAAAAATTAAAAAACCAGTAATAATTTCCAACTTCCATTTCTGCACCAAACAGAAGCGGCTAGCAAACGTCTGCACCTCTCTCAAATATTGCAGTACTGAAGCTGGCTACTGCTGTGTGCAATAGTTATTATGCAGGAGAGGCCGCTGCAGTTCAGAGACGACATACAATACCTCAAGGCAGACACAGCAGACTATAGAAATTCAAATCCTGAGTAAGAAGATTTACCTAGAAGGCAGTGTTCTGAATGTTAAAAAGTAACAGGCTCTCCTCAAGACCTGCAGCTCAAGTCAAAATATTCCTTGATTCGTAGCCATCTGTAATTGCACAATTATCTACAGCCTATTTTGTCTCCTCTGGAGTCCTTGACTTGCCCCTGATTGTGGAAACAATTTCAAAGGTAACCTTTCCAAGGAGCAGAAGTACACTGGATTGCATATAAACAGAACTGATTAAAGCATTATGTCTGGTAGTAAAATAACAGTAATCTGACACCAATTTAGGTAGCTTACTATGTTTTCACTACTAGAATTTAACACCAATTCTCCTAACAAATTTGTCCTTTACAATTTAAGAGGCAAAGTTGCTAGGTTTTGTCATTTCTTTAATCAAAAAATGACCGACACAAAAAGGACCGTTTTCTTCTTAGTGCAAGATCTGCAATAGTGCCCCTGTTTCCATCCAAGTCTGGGACCTCAAATAGTGATTCTACTCCCTCCTCCTCTCGAGGATGACATTAGCAAGTTTAATAGCTCTCAGTTCTGCATTTTTTTAGCAAGCAAGGCAAGCCATCATTTGAAACCTGACAATTCTCACAGACTTACCATGAAGGAAAGCTCCATCATGACTCAGTAAAATTCTGTCAGGAGATGGCTTTTTCTGCCTATGTTACCTAGGTGTGATGGCTATGTTCCTCAGAGCCGCCTTTGTTCAGATAAGTAGGACACAGAACGCCTTGCGTAATCGGCCGTGGCCGAGCGCCAAGCCTCTTCCATTTGCCAGGCATGTTTGAGGCCAGGGGGGAGGGTCAGGAGAGGACACGCTACATGTGCTGCTACGTCAGCTCATTGCCGCACTCTCCAGTGTCTTCTGAATTCAGAACAAACTCATTTTGCAAGGTGAACGTTTGTGTAGCATAGTGTAAACACTCAGTTACTTTTGTCCAACATCCAAAACAAAACAAAAAACCCCCACCAACTCCAAAACCAAAAAAACCCACCCCTCAAGACTGAGGAAAACAGTTAAGTGGACAGGGCAAAAGGAAGCTGCTTGAGGGCAGGAGAAACAAAGGTCATATACACACACAACTTAATAACAGCAGCACGTTCAGGAGAATCTCTTGTTTTGACTAGCTGTATCTGAAAAATTCTTTGTGAACAGAAAGACCAACATCCTAGACAGTATGCCAGAGTGTTTTTCACAAGGCTATCTTAATACTCACGTTGCCTGCACGTTTTATCATTATCTGTGCGGCATCAAAATTTAGCTATCCCTGCGTTACAGCCCGAAGGACAGCCAGCAGCAACAAAATGCCACAGGGAAACGGGATGCCTGGAAGCTTGTCCCTGCTGCTGTATCACCAGCACCACCATCGGGCTGAACTGCCCTGAGCTGAGGTGGCTTCAGGACCTGCAGCTCTGCTTCCAGCCACCTGGTTGCCCTGGTTTCCAGGTTGCCCCGAAAGCACAGCACAACCCTTGCCGGCTATCCGTGGCTACCTAGCCAGCACGCGTAGCTAGCCATTACTGTGTGCCCTGAATGCCAACCTTTCAGTTACAGCTGCAGCTAACAAACCTGGACCAAGATCTACCTCCCATGAGGAGAGGGTCCACAAATGAAGGAAGTGTGCCAGCACCAATAATCATTAGCTTGAACGGTCAACTTCTCAGCCAACTCTCTCTCTTCTCAAGGTTTGTTGTTGTCCCCCCCTCTCCACCCCCACAAATGATGGAAGATGCCACACAGCATGTTAATTCAAATTTTAGCATTTACTCCTCTTTGTAATCATGACATTTGTAAAATACACCTACAGTTTTCTTTTATAGGAAAAGTCCAAAATTACTCAAAAACCCAAGCAAAACTAAGGAAGAGAGAACAAAAGAAAACACTCTGTAGGTCAGACATTGTGATCCACTGTCAAAACCAGTTGCTTGATTACACTGCCATGCTGCATTAAAAAACTTTTGTTTTTTCTTCTTGGATATGTCTTTCCATCAGACACATATGCAAGCTACAAAGACTTTGAGAGCAACTTCATTCCCAAATGCTGTTTTCCATCCACTTACGTTTTTGTTAAAATAATATTTTGACTCGTTTCATCTTGCTTTCCACAAAATGCTTTTTAGGGGAAATGCCTGAAAACTTGGATATCTACCTTGCAATAGCTAAA